AGCACTGCGTCTACTACCCCACTCCACTTCACCCTCTTCTCATCCGACTCTCGCAGTTTGTATTTATGAAAAGAGGAAGAGTTCATTATACTGTAAGAGGGTTTACCACAACATTAATGAAGAAGATAATATATGAGTGCCATGTACTGCAATAAGTCATTCGTTCTGCAATCATGGCGATAACAGCTGAACTTGACAAGAAGCTCTAAATGAAGATAGTTTGATGCGTACAAACAAGATATTGCAGTGACTTTTCTAAATGAATATTGAATATTACTATCACAACTATGTCGAGTTAAGTGTTGAGACTTTTCAGACCCCACATCACGATAATTGGCGACCAATGTGATTAATTATTTATTATAACAGTGGTAGAGAAAGATTCTTTTTTTTTCAGCATCTAAAATCAGTACGTCGAAAACAAATAACGCTGGGAACATTAAAACATCTGAAATATACTTTGGAAAAGAAAATTTTCAAGTCCAACAATTAAAAATGGACGACTTGAAAGCAGTCATGCTGGAAAAAATAAAACAACAGCAAGAACAACGACAAAAAGAACAGAAACAGCAACAACAATTCCAGGAAACATTGAGGAAGATAATACTAGTGACTTGTCTAGCCGAGTATTAAATACTACTATCACGACTGATTCTGTCGAGTTAAGTGTTGTGTCTTGCCAGACCTCACATCACAACAAAAAATATTAGTAAAATAAAAAAAGATAAAATAATAAAGAAGAAGGAAAAAAGGTAAATCAAAAAGCAAGAAAAAAATGTCGTGTCGCGAGGGAGAAATAACAATATTGTCACGGAGGTCATTATGTTTCATCGTTATACCCTTGGACAGCTAAATTTAGGAGATAGCAATAAATCACGCCATGGTGTCTCGTTTTGGAAGAGTGTTTCAAAGCTTACTTTAGCAGACCATTGTTATTGAAATCAATTTAATATTCGCTCCGTGCTCTACATCGGGAACCTTATGCCTCCTAAATAAATGTCAAATAGAAAACTGCTTATCATTTAAGGACGCCTCTCGGAGAACCGTAGGTGGCTAGTTCGACCCAAAGACAAGATTATATTGGAGACAATCAGCGTCGGATATCCGATATGGTCTGCCTGACGACGCTAAATTTAATAAAAAGCAATAAGAGGAAGAAAAAATGAAAAATAAACAAAACAGACAAAATTGATTGATTGATTTGATGTTTAACGGCATTTATAGCTCATTTAATGCCAAAATTTAATTTTGTGGGGAACATGTAAGTAATAAAAAACGATATATGTTATTCTGCTTTCACAAGTGAATACATGGTAGACGATACTCAGGTTTTGTGCATATACCGGGTGTAACAGAAAAATTGTCTAAAACGTGTAACAGCATAATTGTCCATCCCACAAAATTTTTAATATCTAACCTAAAAACTAAACTAATTGAGTTTCTTTTTTCCACATTTTCAGAAAAACTGTTTAGCCATCTTGACACCATTTGTCGTAATAATCACTAAAAAACGTTTAGTTGTTCAGCTACAAAGAGAACAGGTTAAAATTGTTTTGTGTCAGCCCCACTGTCTTCCCTAAATGAGCAATGGTGGGAGTAAAAAGATCATTCAGGCTTTCAGTAATAGTATCAACATTCATACTCTGGCCTCCACCTTCCAAGTCCATTCAAGAACCATCAAGCGATCGGTGAATAATTTTTAAAAAGGGAACACTACAGAGGAAAATAGATAAGGAGGTCACAACAGGAAGAAAGATCATCATTTCAACTTGAAATCAATTAGAAAAGATCCAACTAAATCGATAAGACGTTTGGCACGTTAGAAGGGAGTTTTAACTATGACACTCCAAAGAACAGTGAAAAAAAACTGAAAATGAAATCGTACGTGAAACGTGTGAAGCATTTTGTTATTCCAGGACAGAAGCTTAGAAAGGCAGAGTGCGAAGATCATCTTGAATAATTTGGAAAATAATCCTGGAAAAAAAAAATAATATATATATATATATATATATATATATATATATTAACTTAATTTCAATCTTTCATGATCTTCCGATCCTTGGCTATGATTAATTAATGATGAACATGTCATTTTTGTTCATGATCGATTTCATCACGGTTTTTTTTCTGTTACGCTTGGAAAGTAATTATACATTCTTATTGCATAAAGTAGAGACTAATGGTGTTAAAAAAAAAACTCAGAGAATTCTAGTATGATATCTTCACTTATTTCTAAGATACAACGATTCAAATCTTAATCTAACAAATGGACAATTTTGCTGTTACATCCGGTACATCTCTGTGCAGACATGATTACTAGAGGCGTTAATATGTGTGTTTCTATGTTGGAGTTTTGTTGAATTATTTGGAGTATTTTGGAATGCAGTTTGATTCCTTTATGAAATTGTAGGATATTTTATGGATTAATGTCATGAAAGTTCTTCCGTATTGGTTGCTTGGTAGTATTTTAAACGGATTTGGGTAAAGTTGTTAAATCTGTTAGTATGCGCGTATTGTTGGTAATTTTTTTACACAAAAATGTATTGCTGGTATTTCTGCTCTAAAAATGTATTTTCATACTTTCATAGTGTTTTGTTTTTGTTTGAGGTTTCATTATTTTTGGGATGTCAGCGAATACTCGTTGACATTTTGTAATGTTAACGAATACTCGTTGTCACTTTCGTAATGCTCGTTGTAGTAGAGACTTTGTAATCGCAGATACAACTATAGAAAAGCCGTTGAACAATACTGGTGTCAGACGCCTTCGGCTAAAACTCGTACAAGTAGTACTTGCTCAGTAATACTCGTTCGAATAGTAACCAGCGAATAGTAATCCGTATAGTGTTCACTATAGAGAAATAGTGTAGTGAATAATATAGAGAAATAGTATAGGGAAAAATATAGAGAATAGCGTTTCGTATAGTGATAGAGGATAGTGTAGAAATAGTGATCAATTAGATGTCACACTAATTCCTATATAAACATTTCGTTTACCATCACGTGATCTACTTATTCAAATGGGATTGCCTGTGCTCTCTGGTGATCTGTGTTCAAACTCCAGTATCGGCAGCAACACTTTATTCCTATATAACAATTATTTTCCCATAGGTTGGCGCCTAACACCTATTACCACCCATGGTCAGGGTGGAATTGCGAAAAACAGCATAGTTCGATACTTCTCACAATCTCCAGATCAGAGGTTTTGCTTCCGGATGTAGTTGTGCATACTGAAATAAAAGTAAATACCTAACTTGAGCGCTCCCACCGCCGGGCCTTGAACAGGATGAGCCTTACTGTAAAAAATAGAAGCAAGCAGTGTTTGAATCGTTGGGGAGCTCCTACATCACGACGTCTCGTAGATGAAAAGCGAATATCGCCGTCAGTGACTGAATATGTGACATATCTTAGAAAGTCTCTCATTGGTTGACCATAGCCAGTCAGTATCGTTTTTTTTTATAACTGTCAGTCAGTTACGTGCCATGGAGAACTGTCAGTGACTGAATATGTGACATATCTTAGAAAGTCTCTCATTGGTTGACCATAGCCAGTCAGTATCGTTTTTTTTTTTTTTATAACTGTCAGTCATTTACGTGCCATGGAGAACTGTCGTCATATTTGGGCGGGAGACCGTGATGGAGTACAAAAGCGTCTCCGCGTCATTGCAGGAGACGAATTATTTTCAACACTCCAGCGTCTCGCTCCCAGGCGGGATCTGGTAAACCTCTCGCTCCTCTATCGCTAATCTCACGGAAAGTACTCGGAAGAACTACATTCTTTGGTTCCGCCAAGCCTAACCCTCACGGCAAGGACTCGCCACGCTACATTCATTGTAGCAAGCCACTCCCGTTTCTTCCGTATTCCATCGGTAAGAAGTAACTTCCACTCGAATAGCTTCTTCCTGTAAACCGCTGCTCTGTAGAACCGACTTCCAAGAGGATGTTTCTCCGATCACTACAATTCAAGTCTAGGGGTAACCATCCCTCTCCTATTTGTACAGACTGCCTCCTAACTTAACCCTCTCCCTCGAGCGACCCCCGGGCCTTGAACAGTGTGAGCCTTACTGTAAAAAGATAGCAACAGGCAGTGTTTGAATCGTTTGGAAGCTCCTACATCACGACGAACATCGCCGTCAGTGACTGAATATGTAACATATCTTAGAATGTCTCCCGTGTCTGTGTGTATGATCAAGCCAAACTTACATGCCAATATTCTACACAGGTGAGACTTCCTGGTAGCTAGGCAGTGTCTTATGCTCTCTATGCAGCTCAGGTTATTTCATTCTGTAAGATATCTTTCTCAATTTGTTCGTATCTATTTATCTATCTAGAACATAACTATATAACCATAAACCTCAATATATGACATCTATGCATTTAAGTCTGTTCCTCTCAATGTATCTCATTCTCCATTATATCTATCTCAGTCACTTCATATCTATCTATCTATCTATCTATCTATCTATCTATCTATCTATCTATCTGTTATACCTAACGTAACTATTTTATTATTTATAGACTTTCCTACACATAATAAGTAGTAGTAGTAGTAGTAGCGGTCGCCAGTTGAGCTCAGTGGTGTTGAGTGAGTCAGTCAATGTCGGACATAGAAGTATCAACCATCACAACTAGATTGCTGCGTCATTAACTCTTATTTCAAGTTCCTAACGTTTTTGTACGTCGGACCCCTTTTAGGACCGAAATACAAAACCTCCACTGTGAAAACTTCTACAACTATCTATCTATGTCAATAAAATAAATTTGTGTAACGAGATCTAAATTCTGTATATATGAAATCCACTGTTATTCGCAACAAATTCGATTTATTTTCTATCACCAATAATTCAGAAGCAAAATAATTGATCTATATAGATATAAACAATTGACGTATAAAAATAAATTAAACAATTGACATGATAACGAGATATAAACAGATTCTGTATATATGAAATGTACAGAAAAGATAGATAGATCGTGTATCTTATTCGCAACAATTAGATTCGATTAAACAGATTGACATAATGATGATAGATAGATAGATATCACAGATTGACATAGATAATAGATCATAGATAGATAGATAATTGAAGATAGATAGATAGACAGATTGAATAGATTGATAATTATAGATAGATATAAACAGATAGATGACATAGATAGATAGATAGATAGATGAATGATAGATAGACAGATATATAGATAGATGTAAATGGAACAGACTGATAGATAGATAGATGAATGGATAGATAGATAGATAGATAGATATGAATGAACAGACTGAGAAGATAGATAGATGATAGATAGATGAGAATGAATAGATGAAAAATATAGAAAATTAGATAGATAGATGAATGAATAGATGAATATTAGATAGGATAGACAGATGAATAGATAGATATTGAACAGACTGAGATAGATAATATAATAGAGATGATATGATAAACAGACTGACATAGATAGATAGATGAATGATAGATAGACAGATATATAATAGATAGATAGATGTAAAAGAATGCCATAGATACATAGATGAATAGATGAAAGATAGATGAGAGATAGATAAGTAAAAGAAGATACAGAGAGAGAAAAATAAAAATAGAAAATTATAAGAAAAACATATATTGAAGGAAGACAGAAAGACAGATTAAAAATGTAGAAAATAACGAGAGAAATAGATAGATAGATAGATAGATAGATAGATAGACAGATATATAAGTAAAAGAATGCCATAGATACAGAGAGAGAGAGAGAAAGAGAGAGAGAGAGATTAAAAATATAGAAAATTATAAGAAAAACATATATTGAAGGAAGACAGAAAGATAGATTAAAAATGTAGAAAATAACGAGATAGATAGATAGATAGATAGATAGATAGATAGATAGATAGATAGATAGATAGATAGAAACAGGCTGAGATAGAGTGCCAGGTAGATAATTAAGAAGACTAAAACCATCTGTATCATTGCAAAATCCCGATTTACTTACTAGCCAGATTAACTGGTGGATTAATAGAAAGGCTTCATCACGGTTTTTCAGCCTTTACGCAAAATATTTTTGCCATCGTCTGCAAAATTAAGAGAAAACAGGTTTCAACTTAGATTTGCATTAAAGTACATTACACAAATCGATTTGCATTAAAGTAAATTACACAAATCATTCGCCTTTCATTAGACAACTTCTTCATTCCCTGTGTAAACTATGTCTCACAACTTCTTTGTTTCTTTGCCTTCGTTTATGACTTTTCTTGAGCTTAAGTCAGAAACGTCAATTTAGAAACGATCTCCAATAAAAACCTAGTTCAATAATTGAAATTGAAAAAAAACCTTGATCAAATCGTTACGTTAATATGCTTTCTACAAGCTTAGCAAAGTATTAAGAAACAGGAATTCACCAAAGACAAAGAAAAGAGTGTACAACTGATATATGTTATCTCTCTTATATAGGACAGTTTGATTTATTGGTTTGGTTTATTGTTTTACGGCATATCAACATCAATGGGTATTTAATTCCAACAAGAGGATAGGTTCGTATGAATAGAATATGTATTCTTTGTAAGAAATCAATTTTTAGATGAGTTTTCATTGACGTATTTTTGTCAAAAGGGTTTTTGTCGAGAGTCAAATATACTACTGGTAATATTTTTTTTCAAATATGTCTTGCTAGATATTTTTTTTTTCTAAAATGTACTGCTGGTAATTTTTTTTTCAAATAGTATTGCTGATATTTATTACTATAAAAATTTAGTTTTATACTGTCATAGTGTTTTGACCCCAGTTTGAGCGTTAACTATTTGCCCATAGCTGGGACCCTTACAGGTGCTACCACCACCCCGGTTCAGAGTAAACCTGGAAGCAACAGCAATTAACAGCTGGTTCCACGCCTCTCAAAACCTACCAATCAGAGGCCTTATTGCCAGGCATAGTTTATCGTCATACGCAGGACGGATATATGGCAGTGAAATGTTGGAGAACCTTCTTATAAATGGAGAGCTTATTGAAGCAACAGAAATGTGGTTCTATAGGACGATATCTATGAATATGTTGTTGTCAATCCTCTTAGAGTATAATGAACTCTTCCTTCTCTCATAAATACAAACTGCGAGAGTCGCACGGGGGCGCAGAGTGTCAAGAGTAGTGGAGTAGTATAACGCAGTGCTAATCTCCTTATTACTAACACTATTGTTTTGTATATATCTTCAATATACTTTTTCAACCTACCTTTGTCTTCCGTTCTGGGCCCCTAAACAGGCCCACAGCAGAATATAATGAACATAATATATGATCAAAGAAAGACGTTTTAAATAAACTCGAAAGAAAAAAAGAATCAGAGAGAAATATTTGAAATTTCTAGGGACATATAATAAGGGAAGATGACTTGGAGAAGTTGACACTCACAGGATATATTGCAAGCAAGAGGGACAGTATTGTGTAAATGAAAGGCAGAAGAGAGATGGAAGGGAATAGTAAGAAGATAAGCATTGCTAAAAGTGACAAAAATATCGGAAGTTGTAGATGTTACGGTTTTTTGGGTATATAAGCGTATAACTAGTGAGCGAGTCAGAATGACTTATTCCCCTTTATAGTCGACCAATGGAAGGTTGACCAATCCGAAGCCGCACTACACTGTATTCATCATGTATAAAGGCGGCCATCTTGTTTCGTCTACCGGAAGGACCAAAGGCGACCAGGAGAAGGATGAAGTACACTCTGCTGTGATATCCACTGCGAACCTAAAGTACGCTTTCCTACTGTCTCCGAAATATTCACTGCCAACCTCTAGATTCAATACTCAAGGACGACCGTCATGGAAATGTCTAACATAGGTTATGAGCCCAGCTATGGATAAAATAATAAATGATTTTTCTGGATCACTTTGAACCGGAGTAATAATAACTATTTTAATGGGTCCCAACTATGGGTAAAGTAACAATTCTTTCCACTTTTTGCTGTGATCGCAATCTAAACTTATAGTATTGTTGTTCATGTTCTATTAACCCGAAGTATTTAACTGTGAACAAAGTGATATGACTAATTTTGTGAATATTAACTTTCAAGAAAATATTAAAAAAAAAACATAAAAATAAAATTTGGAATATTAAAGTATTTGTTACATATTAATATTACCCTTTTTAAAAAAAAAAAAAAAAAAAAACATTATTTTTGGAATTAAAGTATTTATTAACTTTACTAATATTTTGAACGAAGATTCCATTATATACCCAAAATAGGGGGGGGGCTGTTACGGTTTTTTTGGGTATATAAGAGTATAACTAGTGAGCGAGTCAGAATGACTTATTCCCTTTATAGTCGACCAATGGAAGGTTGACCAATCCGAAACCGCACTACACTGTATTCATCATGTATAAAAGGCGGCCATCTTATTTCGTCTACCGGAAGGACCAAAGGCAACCAGGAAGGATGAAGTACACTCTGCTGTGATATCCACTGCGAACCTAAAGTACGCTTTCCTACTGTCTCCGAAATATTCACTGCCAACCTCTAGATTCAATACTCAAGGACGACCGTCATGGAAATGTCTAACAGTAGAGAGCCATGATCTCCACGTCATGACGGGAGACGACACATGCAGTATCAATACTAACAGCCAGTATTAAAGACCAGGCAAAAACATTTCTTATGCATATTTTAGAAGTTTAATCTAATTAGAATTTTTATGTATCACAGTCTTCCTCAAATCCCGCTTCCCACTCTCCGTTTTTTGAACCGGAATTATCCCTTGATTCCTGTTTAGGAATGAGTCTAAATTTTATTCTAAAGTTTTCTCAATCTCTTCCACATCCAGCAACTTTTTGCGTCTTAGTGGCATTATCGACTTCCTTTGATATTAAAAAATCATTAATTTCTGTTATTTCCAATCATATATACATAATAAATATTAATGCATTTTTTTAACGCTAATGATGCTAAAGTTCTTTAAAATCTATCCAATAGTCATGTAAAATATTTTAGTGAATTATATTCTATCCTTGTTTAACTTCGCAAAACCGTTCAGTTAGCAAAACCCACACCCCCGACAAAAATTATACAGTCAGTTATAACGTGATTGCAAGCCGTTTGTTTGACAAGATATCATTTGGAAGCCATGCTATGATTACGCATGCGCACGTCTATCGGGAAATCGGCGAGCAAGGTGTACCTATTATGGCTAGATTTAGCCTCGTTAAACGCTTGATAGTTTTCCCCGCAAACTTTTGAAATCTCTCCTTGTTATCTCAGCTCATTGAAGCCAACGCTCAGCCCTGGATCACAAACCAGGCAGATATTGGCGAAATCAAATGAAGCAATGTTTCATTGAGCCTGATCGGCATAAATACAAAAAAAACATATCGTTTATTTTGCTTTGTTGCCTTAATAGCCAACGTTATGCCTCAGTCCTTGCCTGTTGTGTCTTTGTTGGGAGTAATTGGTAGGTTCGCTGGCGAGAGAGCACATGTCGTTTGTTCAACGGTTCTCATAGATCTCTCAATTTTACCCACCATTCGTCTGTCAATCCTTAATTCTCTCTTTCCATCCAAAATTTATTGTTGTTTTTGTTTAATTGACTTACACCCTTTTGTTATTGTTGCATTGCCAAAATTACGTTATTTTTTTCTTCATTCTACTTTTCTTTCTCGCTTAACTCTCCTCCTTTCCTTATTGTGTTTTCATGGCATCAACTACTTTCGTTGCTTCATTCTGCTATATTTGACTTCCGCTATTTATTTTTCTTCTCTTCGTTTAACGTAATGATTTTATACGTATATATATATATATATATATATATATATATATATATATATATATATGTATATATGTATATATATATATATATATATATATATATATATATATATATATATATATATATATATATATATATATATATATATGTATATATATATATGTTTATATATATATGTATATATATATATGTATATATATATATATATGTATATATATATGTATAGTTGTTGAGGTCACTGATAGGCCGGGAATCTCACTGGTAGAAAAATCAATGAGATCAAGGGCAACCGGTTGCAATATGTGGCTGCTGTGTTGCTGCTTCGTGCTTACCCGAAGACTGCCACCCATTCATAATCGGTCAAGGTTTTTCATTTTGGCAATGTAAAATAGTGGTTGCATTTTCATTGTCGGACTCGCCACTTCACTATTAAGTTTTCCCAGTTTAAGCGGAATACGCGGCCGGTAATGTCATGTCTGTGAGTGTAATCCTGTCCGGGTAGGAGTTCACGCATTATCTCAACCCATTTGGGGTTGCAGGTAAACGTTATAAATAAGTCTGGCCACCCATATTGCCTAACGTATGTCATAGCGTCCTGCGTGCGTTCATGCATGTAAAGCCGGCCCCCAGTGTAGGTAGAGGGAAGAATGCACAGCTTCCCTAGGTCGCGGGGATTGACTTCATTTCGAAGGCTGTCGCGTACGTAGGAGTCTGAGCGCAGCTGTTTCTGATGATTCCGTATAAAACAAAGCCTCACCGATTCCATCTTAGCGGCCATGTCAACCGCAAACTGGTGGAAAATCTCCCTGCAGGTTGAAGTCTCCATTCCTAAACATGAACCGGTATGAGTAGAAGGCCTGGCACGATAAGGCTTTGGAAGACGTTTCAGGTTGGCCACCCGGAGTATGAAGTGGAATGCCGAAGTGGTAGCTATCGTCACCATAAGGGTAAAGTAAAGGGTACTGCAATGCATCATATGATAGATGGGTCTCTGAAATCCGCGCCACCTCTTGATTTGAGGACAATATCTCGAGCGAGGGCTTGCTCCCCATGTATAATAGCGGCCACTTCGTTGCACGCAGGAGCATTGTAGCAGCGTTCGTGTTCATCCTGAGGCCGTTTTTCGACGTCAATTACAATGCTGAAGGAAGGAAATGGAGCATTTTCCAAAGCATATTTGAAACTGCGAATGTAGCTGTTAACCTCGTGAAGCATGTCCTGAAGTAGTAGTATGACATCCCTGCGAGGAACTCTTCCCAACGGCGGCAAAACACCAATCCGGGTTTCGGCCTATAGGTTGTAGTCTGCAATAAAGTACAGTTGAAGGAATTTAGGCGTACCTGCCCCTGTAATTTGAAAGTGGGCATCCAACCCACTTCTCGAACCACCTGAGCCCCAAATATATTGCCTAATTGTATTAAGGAAGTGGCTAGAGTCGGGATGGGAGCCGGCTATTAGTCCCCTCAACGGGGTAGGTGGTTCATGCAGAGGTGGCAGTCGAACTTTGAGGAGCAGGCGGCAGGTTTCCTGCCCATTTGTGGGCGTTTTGGCAAACGCAGGTCAGGACCCTACATTGATGTCGTCACCCGTAGTTAAATTAATGTCGGGGTCGTAAATGAAAGCTAAGAAAGACCAAAAAGAGCTACTGGGACAGATAATACTACGGGGGGGCCGCAAGGCGCTGAATGTCGCCGTCGAGGGGTATGCTGCGAGTTTAGGGAGTTTGAGATAAGCGCACAGCGGCCATGTTTGTAGCAGTCCTTGAAAGTCTGATTGCCCTTGTCTGTGGGCCCACGGAGTTTCTGGCAGCAGAAGTCACTGCAGCGTTGCGGGCATTGCGGTTTGCCCGCTGCAGCTCTGTCTCGAACTCCCTGCTGCAACAGCTAGGTAGCTGTTGCAGCAGCGTCCCTGGATTGACGCGCGCGCCTTCGGTCAAATGTTTCAGCTGCCCTCGAGCTGGCAGTGGTGTCAGCATTCGTAGCATTTCGAACAGACCTACGGAGCGAAGTCTCAGCAGCCTTATCAGTCGCTGTTGCAGCAACCTCCCTGGATTGACGGGCGCGCCTACAGTCAAGTGTTTCTATTTCCCTTGATTTCGCAGTGGCAGCAGCGTTTCTTACGTTACGAAGAAGCCTTTGATGATGAGTGTCGGAAGCCCGAGATGCAGTGGCGATTGCGGAAGACTGTGCGTCTATACTCGACCGTTGTGCATTCTTGAGCCTTGACCGCAACGAAGCCCTGTAGGCAGCTTTCCCAGCAAAGCCGGTGACACGCTCCTCTTGTGACTGCGAGGCCTTCGTTAGGGCGCTGCGTTGAGTGGCCTATGATAGTCGAATTGTAGTCTGCTCTTGGGACTCGCGGGCTCTTCTTGCCCTCATAGCGGAGGCTCGTTCAGACCGAAGGCTAAGACGTATCCTCCTTTTTGGAGGCATGTGGAAGAGTGATGCTAGTAGTGGTTCATTAGGGTTGCTCAATTGCGGGAGTAAAAAGTCTAACTTAGTATCGCAAAGCATGAGCCAGAATCGGGAAGGCAGGTATTTAAGTAAAACAACTGAATAAATAGTTTATGGTAGTTGGAAAAATGTAGTTAGACAGACAAACGGAAAACACAAACGTAAGATACAACTTGCGGTAGGAGAAATGATCAGTTGAAGGAGCCTATCGTATCAACCGGATGGCGGCGTAACAGAAGCAGAAGTGAGACCTTCGTCTCACAGCTGTGCACAGCAAGTTCAAATGCGAAGTATTACTGGCCAATCAGCGAGCATTCAAGGGTCTCGAACACCAATCAGCGACTGTGTATTACAATCTGGCAATGAGATACCGCTATGTTAAGCCTGGTCACGCGTGTGGGAATAACAATCAGCTGTAGAGTCTGTAATGTAGACGTCTCAGTTGAACATACGTTTGATTAGTGTATTCGCAAATTCCGATGAAAACATGATTGTATCGACTTCTCTCAAGTATTAGTTGGTCACAAAGGATCTCACAGGGCAAAAGTGTTTAATTGTCACGACTAGAGCCGATAAAGTTAATCAAAATCCCAAGCAAGTTGCAAAAAACATCACCGAATTCAGGTAAACTCGATCTGAATGGGAAGTCAAAAGTGGTAGGATTTCATCGATTTTTATCCGATAATTGAAACTGATATTGAAAACGAAAGTCTGCACCTCAATACTGTCGGTAAATACTATGCTCAACGGGAATTTTGCTGAAAATTCTTCGCCATTTGCGAAAGATATAGCCAAAAATCAGCTAGACTGGACTTGAATCGGATGTCCCAAAGTAATCGATTGTATCGATTTTTCCCAGTAATTGATATCGATATTGAAAATGAATGTCAGCACCACATAACTGTTGATAAAAACAATGCTCAACGTAATTTTGGTGAAAATTCTTCGCCATTTGAGAAAAATATAGCCAAAAATCAGCTTGACTGGAATTGAATTGTAAGTCAAAAGTGGAATGTTATCGATTTTTCCGATAATTGATACCGATATTGAAGAAAAAGGTCAGCAACTAATAACTGTTGATAAAACTAATGCTCAACATGATTTTCATATAAATTCCTTGCAGTTTGCGTGAATATCACTTGTAATTTGTGAAAACTATCACTGAAAAACTGATGATTTTCTTTCGAATCAATATTCGACACCCTATCGGTTTTACCGATTTTTTTTCCAAAATCGGAGGGACGATCGAAAAATCGAAGACGTCAAGTACGAATGCCGTGAATTTCCGATCTGTGTGTGAATTTTCATGCCAATCGGACGAACGGTTTGCTCGGGATGAGGTAACAAAGTGACAAACACACAGACACACTAACAAAATGCCATTTATAGATACAGATATATATATACATACATACATACATACATATATAAATACATATATACATACATGTATACATACATACATGCATACCTATATACATACTTATACATACATATACACATACATATATACATACATACACATACATATATACATACATACACATACATACACACACACACACATATATACATACATATTTATATATATATACACATATATACATATGGTGGACTCTCCCGTCGTATTCGATGGATGAGGATCAAGCAGCTCAGTTGCTCGGAATATTCTTGATTATAATGGTGAAGGCTTTGTGCAGCTATTTGCCCTTCTCTTTGCCCAAAGCTGGAGGGAGAAGAAAAGGATTAATACGCTTCCCAAGGGTATTAGCACGTAAGTGAATGCAATGGATTCGACGAGAATCCGATTCTTCAATCCGAGTCGCTATCCACTAGTCCAACGTACCTCCTAAAAAATATGGAACGCTTCACCAATTTGCGAGTCACCCTAGCGCAGGGGCAGTATATATTCAAAAATTGGAAAAATACAAAGACATGTGAGTGTGTGTGTGTATATATATATATATATATATATATATATATATATATATATATATATATATGGCGGAAAAAATCTTCATTATCAAAGATAAGAACCGAGATGAGCTGCTGAATCTTCGTAATGAGATATTCTCTAAATGTAGACATAAGAAACGATTCAAAACATGAACACCGTTTTGTAACATGTTGTCACTTATGTCAGTTCCATCTTAGTCCAATAACATCGGGCATGACATTTTAATGGAATGACTATTATATTTATTATGTTTATCTCTAAATGTATCATTGTGTACGTTTATGTGATGCGCTATGTATTTATAAAATATATATATATATATATATATATATATATATATATATATATATATTTACACGGCCAAATGTTTGAAATGTTACTTATTTAGATTTTAAATTTTGATTTTATGTATATATATATATATATGTGTGTATGTTTATGGATATGGATATGTATGTATATGTATATATATATATATATATATGTATGTATATGGATATGTGTATATATGTATATATGTGTATGTATATGTATTTAAGTGTGTATATATGTATGTATGGAGGTGTTTATGTATGTATGTGTATATGTATATGTGTGTGTATGTGTGCATATGTGTATATGTATATATGTATGTGTGTGTATGTGTATATATACATGTGTATGTGTATGTATGTGTATGTGTGTGTATATATTTGTATCTTTAGGCAGCAATCTTTCCTTTATGCATGTTTCATTGAAAACGACAGACAAGGTACTACGGTTGAGTATTTAATTTGTCCAGAAAAGAAAGCTCTTGTCAGAACACAAGAAAAATTAAATAAAAAGCTCAACCGTGTATATATATATATATATATATATATATATGTGTGTGTGTGTGTGTGTGTGTGTGTGTGTGTGTGTGTGTATGTATATATATATATATTTTTATATATGTATATGTGTATGTATGTGTATGTGGGTATATATGTATATATGTATGTATACTTAATTGTGTGTGTATGTGTGTGTATATGTGTGTGCATATGTATGGATGGTGTGTATATAGGTATATGTATGTGTAGGTATGGATGTACATTGTGTGTATATAGATGTATATTTATGTGTGTGTATGTTTGGATGTATGTATGTAGATGGATGGACATATATATATATATGGATATATGTAGATGTGTATATATATATATATGTGTTTGTATGTTTGATTTTAAACAAACAATGAAAATGAAAAGAACGACAAATATATTTGTATATTTAAACCTATATGTATATATATATATATATATATATAAATAATGAATCGATTTAAAGAAAAGATGAAAATTTCTTTTGTAGACCAAAATTTTTTTTTTGCAACCTAGAACCTTTTCGTGGCTTCAAATAAATCAGGGTCTTTCGTTGGCAAATTTTGATGACTTTTTCTAACAAACAATGAAAATGAAAAAGAACGACAAAATGGTATGGGTACATTTGATGTCTAAAATTTTAAGATATATATATACGTAAAATTAAAACTTTTTTATAAATTTAGGGCAA